GTAGGTTTTAGTGAGGTCACTCACCCTTTTATGAGTGTTGTCTCTATCAGATTTGGTTTTCATAGGGGTATGCATTATTGGTGTCCCCACGTAGACATTAGGTATGATACCGAGATGCCCAAAAAGATCTACTTCTTCATTGCCTCTCTTGAGAATGGTCTTAGAATCCCTGTACATCTCTTCCTTAAATATGTCCTTTAATATTTCAACGTCTACCCAGCCCAGATTTCTCCCAACTTCTGGGGCATCTTGGTAGGTCCCCTTGTTTACTTTAAGAAGAACGAGCTTGGCACCCCTATGGGCCCCTTGCTCATGAAGTATTACAATGTCAAATTATCCCTTGTTGACGGTTTTCTATACATTGCAAAACGGTTGAAGGCCTAACACTTGATCACCGACCTCCCCAACTCCCATAAAGGTTGGAAGAAACTTTTTTTCTTCGTTTCGGGTAAGGAATGGGAATTTGACCCTAGTGACATCACTGATACCCTTCCTGTACCCCAATCCTAGTCGGGCCCTAACAATTTGGGTAAGTCTTTGTCCTAGGGCCTATATTGACATTTTTATTTATGCGTTTCACCTACTAATCTCGCCTTCTTTGGTTATTTCAGGTATTCATCCCGATCTCAGAGTAGAGGATATGATCGTTCAGCTGGGCTTGGAAGACTATCAGTCAGAGAAATACTCAGAGCTTCCTAAGCCTGTAGTTCTTACTCAATTCAGGTTCAGCCCTCTGAAGTGAGAATTGAAAATCCTATCCCATGTCCGTAGTTGGTGTGGAAAATTCTACCAGTAAGGCTTTCTTCTTTCATCCTTTGGTTTTATCTTTTTCCTTCCTCAAACTTGTTGACCCTTTTGCTTAGAAAAACACCAAGAGGCTCGTCCTCGCCCCCACCTTCTCAGACGGCTACCTCACCTCCACCGACTCTCCATAAGACCTCTCTGTTTGTGAAGGCTGTGAAGGTCTCTACTTCCCAAGGGGGTTCTTGTTCCCCAGAAGGCTCTAGTGGTATCTCCTCCTACCTCCAATGGGGTCCTTCTGAACCTGATGTGGTCCCGTCCTCCCCCTCATCGGCAAAGGTGGCTGGAGCCCTCGAGGCCATTGCTCCCCTCATGCAACATTCTTTCTCCCCGAAGTCTACCAAAAAAGTGCCTCGTTAGTTGTTGGAGGGCTTGTCAAGTAAGGCAACCAAGGGCAAGGGTTCACTGAACAAGAACGTGAACCTTGTTGTTGATGTCATTTCACTTGTTATCCCTGAATTTGACATTCAGGAAGTTTCCTTGATGCCTTTGTCAACCTCAGCTATCACTACTCTGTATGGAGCAACATCGGTAAGTTTTGAGCTTTCTAAACTTCATTTTTGAGTAGGTATTTTTTAACCTTAGTTCCTTTTTATTTTCCTCAGTTGGATAGAGAGTGATGCCGAAGTATCCTAGAAATCTTCGAAGGCCTCCGAGCTCAAAGTTGTTAAATTGGCCATTGTCAACGATGATCTAAAAGCTCAAGTATAAGACCTAAAGGCTCAAGTTAAGGGGTTGAGCTCAGAAAACAAGAATCTTGAGGCCAAAGTAAAGGTGAAAAGTGATGAGCTTACACTCAAGACGGAGGGTCTATTCCAAGCTCGAAAAGATGTCTTCGAGGCTCGTGATGCAATCCACACCATGACGAACGAGTACAAGATGTTGGCAAAGGTCAATGCCATGTTGTTGAAGGAGGTTGAGGCTAAGAGGGCCAAGGTTAAAGAGAGGGATACCGAGATAATGGCATTTCAAGATGAATCTGCTACAAACTGGGTTGCGAGGTATTTTACCTTTCAATAGTAGGAGATAGATAAATACCCAGACCAAGACTTCGCTTTTGATCCTCCACTGGGCAAGTAAAAAGAAGCTCCAACTGCTAATAAGGAGGTTGAAGTCGAGGTTTCTACTTCTGGTGTTGCTCCTAAGACTGAAGCTTCTACTGTTATCCCTACTAGGGATGAGATCGAAGCTCCAGAGTCTTTTCCTACTGAGTCTGAGGTCCAAGCTTCCAAGCTAATTCCTACCGAAGTCGAGGTCCCGATTTCTGAGCTCGTTCCCCTCCTGTCGACTTCTACTGGGATGGTGGTAGACACTGATGTGATTGACTTTGTAGTTCCTCTTCCTTCAACTATTCCTACTAGTGATGAGGCCTCTGTACCTTTGCATTTTGAAGATCTTCCTGTTGTTTCTCCTGCTCCAGTCATACCAGAAAGAATGGATGCCACTGAGATGCCCCAAACTATAGAAGAAATTGTAGATCCAGTTGTGGTTCCTTAGGGCTTTCGTTATAAAATTTCTTGTCTTTGTAATATTTTTTTTTGAAGGAATAATAGTTTTTTGGAAGGAATGAAAAACTATCTCATTTATGTATTATTGTTATCTCCCCTTTGCCCTCTTACTTCAAGAAGAGTTTTATTCTTCTGGGAGCATTTCTATTTTGGTAAATTTTCAAGTATGAGGTCTGTTCCTGAGAAGTTTGACTTTCTGTTAGGGGTAGAGAGACTTATGAACTGAGAAGCTCATCCTAAGTTTATGAGTTAAGAAACCCATCATTTGTTCTTGAGTTAAGGAATTCATCTTGGGTTTATGAGCTGGGAAGCTCATCTTAGTTCCATGAGCTGAAGAGCTCATCTTTGTTTTATGAGCTGAAAACCTCATCATTCGTTTATGAGTTAAAGAGCTTACCATTTGTTTGTGAGTTGAAAAACTTATCTTTAACTTGTGAGGAATGACAATTGATCTGAAACTTTTTGTCCATTGCAATGAAGCTTCTATTGTAATAAAGCTTTACAAAAGTTGGATCTTTATATATTGAAAGAACCTTTTCAAATGATTAACGTTCTAAGAGTGAGGCAAAACTTTTCCTTGTTCAGTCCAGAGCTCATAATTCCCTGACCTAATTACTTTGGACACGATGTATGGACCTTCCTAGTTGGGTCATAGCTTCCCATGAGTAGGGTCCTTTCTAGCTGGGAGGAGTTTCTTGAGAACTAGATCTCCTACTTTGAAACTCCTATACCCGACCCTTCTGTTTTAATACCTTGTTGTCTTTCTCTGATAATCCAGGATGCATTGTAAGGCTCTGTCCCTTTTTTCATCCAGGAGGTCGAGATTAACTAGAAGTAACTCATCGTTTAGCTTGGGGTTGATGAACTCCGTCTTGGGAGATGTGATGCCTATTTCCATAGGGGCTACTATTTCAGTGTCAGAAGCCTAGGTGAAAAGTGTTTCTTGAGTTGCCAATCTGGCGGTGGTTCTGTAAGCCCATAACACTTCCGACAAGTGTTCCACCCATCGACCTTTTAAGGCTTCGAGTTTGGTTTTCAAAGCTACTTTTATGGTCTGAATGGTCATGTCTGCTTGCCCATTTGATTGGGGATGAGCTGGTGCAAAGAAGAAATTTTTTATGCCTAGCTCGGCACAAAATTCATTGAACCTTGAGTTGTAAAACTGTTTTTTGTTATCTGAGACCAATGCCCTTAGGATCCCAAATCTGCAGATTTTGGATTTCCAGGTGAAACTCTGGATTTTTTGTTATGTGATCTTCGCAAGAGGTTCCACCTCAGCTGACTTGGTAAAGTAATCTACCCCTATTATAGCAAATTTGCATTGTCTCGTGCTTGCTGGAAGAGGATCGAGTATGTCTAAACCTCACTACTTGAATGGTCATGGGCTAACCACCAAGGTGAGGAGCTCTGGTGGGTAGTGCATAATATTAGTATGTACTTGACAGGTTTTGCACTTCTTGACTCGCTCTATTGCATCCTTGAGCATGGTTGGCCAAAAATATCCATGCCTTAGAACTTTAACCGCCATAGTTCAAGCTCCAATGTGGTTTCCACAAATTCCTTCATGGACTTCCCTTGGAATGTAATGAGCCTCCTCATCCCCTACACATTTCAGGAGTGGTGCCAAGAAGCCCCATTTGTATAGGTTTCCTTAGAGGATGGTGAATCTGAATGACCTGGCTCTTAGCTTTGCTGCTTCTTTAAAATCTGTTGGCAAAGTTCCATTCTGAAGGTACTTTCTGATTGGATCCATCTAGGTTGGTTGAATCTACACAGGGAACACTTCTTCAGCCTTGGAGCTCACAAATGGCTTGGCCAGGTGTTCAACTGGAATCAACCTATTCAGGTTCTCTTGAGAGGCAGTGGCTAGTCTGGCTAAGGCGTCGGCTCGAGAATTTTCTGCTTTGGGGATGTGAACGATCGTAACTTACACAAACTTTTTCATTAGCTCTTGTACCTTCTTCGGATATAGAATCATTATTTCTCTCTTAGCCTCATACGTCTCCTCAATTTGTTTTACCACTAGTTGGGAGTCGTTGTGAATCATGAGCTGCTCTACTTCCATGGAATGTGTCATGTTGAGTCCAGTGATAACGGCTTCGCACTTAGTCTCGTTGTTTGAAGCTTTGAAATCGAATCTGAGGGCGTATGCAATGTCTATCCCTTATGGAGAGGTCAGGATTAGCCTAGCATCATTGCCTTGGGCGTTGGCGGCACCATCTACAGATAGCTTCCATGTAGGAACGTCAGGAACCAGTTGGGTTACATCCAGGGTTGCCCCTTGACCTGTTGTGAATTATGTGATAAAATCAACCAATATATGTCCTTTGATAGCGGTTCTAAGCTTGAACCTGATGTCGAACTCACTGAGCTCAATTGTCCATTGGACCATCCTTCCTAACAATTATGGCTTATATAATACCTGCTTCATTGGTTGGTCTGTAGGAACCTCTATTGTGTGAGCTTGGAAATAAGGTCTAAGTCTCCTTGTCGCTGTCACCAAAACTAAGACTAGTTTCTCCATCTTCGGATACCTTTCCTCTACTGCAGTAGTAGACTGATTATTGAGCTCTGTCTTACTTCCTAACTAGTGTTGTGCTGGTCAAAAAATCTGAGACAACAAGGTATAAGGTGAGTACCTCTCTCTCTCTCTAGGGCTTACGAGGACCATGGGCAAGTTGAGGTAATCCTTGAGGGCTTTAAATGCCTCCCCACATTTTGCATCCCACTAGAATACCTTTTTAAAACTTGAAAGAAAAGTTGTCATTTATCATTTAACCTGGAGATAAATCAGCTTAAAGTTGTTATCCTCCCTGTTTGACGTTGAACCACTCTTGTATTTTAGGGTAGTTGCATGTCAATTACAGCTCTGACCTTCTCTGGGTTAGCCTTTATACCTCGGTTATTGACTATAAAACTCAAGAATTTTCTGGCGGAGACCCCAAAGGCACATTTAGTTGGGTTGAGCTTCATTACTTTTTAAGGATCTGAAAAGACTCCTCGAGGTGGCTGATATGGAACTCAGCTTTCAATGACTTTACCAACATGTTATCGATATACACCTCCATTGATGTCCCGAACTGCTGCTAGAACATGCAATTCATCAATTGCTAGTATGTGGCTCTAGTGTTCTTTAACCCGAACGGCATGACCTGATAACAATATGTCCCCTGCTCAATTACGAAGGATGTCTTCTCTTGATTATTTGGATCCATCCTAATTTAGTTGTAGCCTAAGAAGGCATCCATGAAACTAAGCATCTCATGCCTTGTTGTGGCATCCACGATCAGATCCATTCTAGACAGCAAAAAACTTTCCTTGGGACAGGCGCAGTTCAGATTGGTGAAATCAATACAGATACGTCACTTGTCGTTGGTCTTTTTTACGAGGACCACATTAGCCAACCAGGTCGGATAATCTACCTCCTTGATGGCCTTGGCATGGAGGAGCTTGGAGACCTCATTTATTGTTTTTTAACGCTCTGAGGTGACGCTTCTCCATTTCTTCTTGATGAGCTTAAAGGTTGGATTCACGTTGAGCTTGTGCGTGATGACTGAGAAGTCAATCCCTTACATGTCCTCTTGCTTCCATGCAAATACCTCCATGTTCTTCTTCATAAATTGAATAAAGAGGTCCTTAATCTCCTTGAGCAGTTTTGATGTCACGTACACCAAATGCCTTGGGTCTTTATTGAGTTGGACCGGCTCCAACTCCTATGATGGTGTGGGCCTTGTCTCCAAATCCTCTTTCATGTCGAGCTCATTCAACTGTATAGTCTCGACTTCCATTCTTTTCATAGACGTCATGTAGCACTCCCGTGCCACTCGTTGGTCTCCTCGAACCACTCCAATGTCGTTCTTAGTAAGAAATTTCATGACCAGATGGTAGGCAGAAGGAATGGCTCTCATGGCAATAAGGGAAGGCCTCCCCAAGAGAACATTGTATACTAAAGGAGCATGCACGACCAAAAATCTAACGGTTGGCATTAATTGGCAAGGAGGGTCTCCTATGGTGAGAACGAGCTAAATTGAGCCTAAGGGAAGCACCTTCTCCCATGAGAATCCAAGGAGATGAGTCTTCATTGGGCCAACCCTATCTCTGCCGATTTCCATTTTGTCAAAGACAGAGGCAAAGATGATGTTGGTAGAGCTTCCATTGTCGATAAGAACTCGATAAACGATTCTGTTGGCAATGATGGTTCTTACCACCAAGGGATCGTCATGGAAATGATGACAGCCTTCCAGATCTGCATCTGAAAACGTTATGTCCATGTTCAATGGAGGTGCCTTAGACATAGATTGTACCTCCAATAAGTCTTTAGCTCGAACTTTCTACATATAAGCCTTCTTGGCTGAGCTGGTTTCTCCCACCTCCAGCAAATCCTCAGGATATTACTCTGATCTCTCCCATAGGTTGTTGGTTCTGTGGAAGAGTTTGTTGCTACGATGCAGGAGGTGGATGAGCTCGATTTTGATTATCTTGGGCCACGAAACGATGCAACTACCCTCTCTGAATTAAGAACTCGATCTCTTTCTTCAATTGGATGCAATCTTCAGTGAGGTGGCCATGGTCCCAGTGATACTCACAGTATTTTGTCTCGTCCCGTTTTGTGGGGTCAGCCTTCATCCGAGGTGGCCACCTCAGGAACTTTTCATTCTACACTTCGTAGAGGACTTGGGACACTGTGGCATTGAGGGGAGTGAATTGTCATGGCGCGTACCTCGGGTGTAGCTCTTAAGGTGGAGGTCCCAAGCAATCTCTTATTTCCTCTATCCTCTTTAGGGAACGCTCTCTGTTTCTTCATGGAGACTGTTCTCAACTTCTCTCCTTCCTTGGACTCCGGTCCTTCATTTTCTTCTTTTTCTTGTGGGTAGTCAAGCTCCCAACCATGAAGAGGAGAGCTTCCTCGCCATCAATTCATTTATCTTCCTTGGCAAGGATCTCAGCCATGCTGGCTTGCAAATTTTTGGAGATCGAGAACATTAGATCTTTGGACTGAACTCCTAGCCCGACGATGAATGCGATGAGGGCAAATTTCTCATCAGGTATGTCTACTTTCAGGGTAAATCTCTGAACATAGCTTCATAGCGTCTCATTCGGCCCTTGTTTCACGTTCAATAAATGGAAACTTAGCTTTCGATAAGTTCGAGATCCAATGAAATGTGACACGAACGAAACTAATAGCTCCCTGAATGAAGAAATAGAAGTTGGGGTCAACCTGTTGAACCAGGCTAAAATTGAGCCCTTCAGTGTGATAGGGAATGCTCGACATTACACTGGGTCTTAATAACCATACAACTTCATCTGTTTCTTGTAAGTGTTGAGATGGTTCATAGGATCCCTTGTCCCATCAAAGGCTTCTATCTGCAACATTCTGAACTTTAGTGGAAGAGAAAAATGCAACACTTCTGCGATAAAGGGAGATTTTGTCTGCTAGACCAAGACATCCATAGAAACAGGGGTTTTGCCCCTCACAGCCTCCTTTATGCGGCAAAGCTCCTGTTGGATCTCTTTGAAGCGATTCTCCCATAACTGGTCCTTCCTTTCTTGCTGGAATGGGGGGAGCTCGTTCCTATAAATTCCCCTGTTCTGGCTCTGTAGTTACTCGTTTCTCTGAACTCGACAATGGATATTGCCAACTATCTGGCTATGCTCATCCCCCTTAGTGATGTCCCTTAGGGGGTTGAGATGTTGATGTTCCCCACGTGGGGGATCATTCTAGGCTGCTTGTCCCTTTTTGGGGACGTTGGATGAGGCTCAGTAATTCCTCATTCTGCTGGATGAGACGTTGATTGGCTAGGCAAAGGACCTTAAGCTCGTTATTTGGGGGAGCATCCACCACGGGTGGATCAACCTCTGGATTAGGCAGGAAATCACGAGGATTTTTTTACTGCCTTCCAACGGCAACCTCTTGTTGGTTCTACAATCGAAGGGGATTTATCTGAATTCTACTCATATTGCATGTAGAAACCATCAATTACTAAAGATAATCAGTATAATTTTTCTTAGGAATAATCGTTCCCATAAATAGCACCAACTGATAATGTGTTTAGAACGATAGAGTAGAGATAAGAGGTTGATGGGTCACTAACTAACTCAGTCTGAGCTCCTAGGCTATTAAGATTTGGACAAGGGAAAAATGGGAGATAACACAAAGAATCTACAGTGGTTCACCAGTTCGGAAGGTCGGCTAATCCACTCTCAAAGGAGTCTCTTGCTCCTAAGACTTATATTGATAAGAAATGAGATTACAGAGTGTTTGTTTAGGCTACAATTGTTTATCTCTTCTTGTGGGGGTTATGCCTCTTATTTATAGTCAATCTTGGGTCTCGCCTAATCTCTAGCGTGATCCTTGTCTCTTCCTTATAAAGGTTGTGACTATCATGCAACGGCTGTGGAAGGTGTCGATGCAGTCACGACTCTTTGTGCCTGGAGATATGCCTGTTACGATTTGGGTGGCGATTGAGTGGAAGCCAACTGTCTTATGTGCTACCCTTGTGAAGGCGCAGTTGTAGGGATAGAAGGTCTGACGTCAAACTCCCTGGTCATGCCGGATGGGCTGAGTGCCTGAGCTAGAAAAGTGTAAGCTGATTACTCGAGGTCAACATTAGGAGTATTTTAGGTATCAACATATATGATTAAGACTTGTTTATTGTTTGTGTTTATTGGTGACTGAATATCTGCTGAGATGTTAAAGATGTGGTGAAATATTTAATCCCTCTTGAAAAACTTAAATCAACTGATTCTCCCACGCACCTCCCATGTCATCCTTCTATAAATAACTGCCCCAGCTATAAATATAGCATTGACTTGTCTTTTTTGGAATAGTGCACAACTTGACCAAATAATTCAGGGAAAAAAATGATTAAATATGGATTGATGTAACGCGAGACAGAGGCAGGGACAGATCTATGTATGGCCAAGGGCACTGGCCTACCCTTAATTTTTTTTTTAATTTTATATAAATTTTATTTGATTATTTATTTTTATATTATTTATTATGTCCACACTTGAATTGACCTTAATTAAAATTATTTGTAATTGACATACAACTGGTCTCTTTTTGTCTAAGATTGATAATTGAATTATTTCAATTAAATTCTAGTGATATTATTACCCTTAATTCTTAAGTTTTTATTTGATAGCTTTGCAATTTTAATATTAAAAATCTAAAATGACGTCAAGGTCAATTATAAATAAATGTAATAAGTCTTTCATTTTGTAAAAAATAATAATTAATTTCTTTTTACAATTTTTTCTTCATATATAAAACATGTATCGATTTTTGACAATTTTCACTTAACATGCTTTTATTTACGACCGTAATTTTATCTTATACATCTCTATATACATGTGAAATCAAAAGTAATTGACTTCATTATGACCATTTGACAAATAGTAGTATTATTTAGTAATGATTTTTTTCATTTGCATTAATTTTTTCTTTTTTTTGTTGGCATTAGACTTTTATAAGATTTTTTTTGTGGATGGTTTAGATTTTAATGGAATTTAAATTTATGATCTACAATATTTTATTAACATATATAAAATATAGGGTTATCTTTTTGAAAACCTAAAGCCATTAATCTCTTTATGCTAGAGTCAATCTTACTTAAAATGTCTACCCTTAAATCAATTTCTGGCTCCGTCCTTGGATAGAGGTACATTTAAAATAATTGTAAACAAAAATATACAAAAAATTATAGTTTAACAAAACATATAACCATTGACAGAGCACAATAGAGAAACATGAGCTATGTAGCCAATCTCAAATAATTGGAATTATAGTTTTATTGAATTGAGTTGAGTATGTATAACCATCTCACAACCAATAGTACTGATTTCAGTTTATTACAATATTAAATGTCAACTTATAATTGAAGCCATCAGTGAGTTGGCTGCCTGTATATAACTGTGTACACACATACATTTTACCATCAAAACTTGGCCAACCTTGAGCTATTTTCTGCCTCTCAAATGGCGTTCACTCTTGAGAGCTTCATGCTGATTTTCCAACTCACCTTCCATGTGATCCTTCTTCTGTCCCTTGACTTGTTTGCTCCTATTCCGGTCTCAGCAACCATACTTGGAAATGAGACTGACAAGCTTGCATTGATCGAGTTCAAGTCCAAAATTAGCGATGATCCTTTTGGAGTCCTGGCCACTTGGAACGAGTCCTTCCCATTCTGTCAGTGGGTTGGAGTCGCATGTGGCCTCAAACATCAAAGAGTCGTCAGCTTGCTCCTATATAGTCAGAAGTTGATTGGAACCATATCACCCCATATTGGAAATCTTTCTTTTCCCCAATCCTTCAACTTGGGAGACAACTCCTTTCATGGTAAAATCCCCCCCGAACTTGGTCGCTTGATCAGGCTGCGACAGCTAAACCTGAGCAGTAACCTTCTACAAGGGGAAATTCCACCTAATTTGTCGCGGTGTTCCAAGCTCATGGATCTGACAATTAATAATAACCAACTCAAAGGTCAAGTTCCTTTCGAGATTGGCTCATTGTCAGAGCTTGAAGTGATCTCCATCCATCGCAACAATCTTACATGAAGCTTACCAGCTTCAATTGGAAACCTATCGTCTCTCCAATTGCTTCGGGCGCAATACAACAATTTGAATGGAGAAATTCCAGATACTTTTTCCAAATTAAGGAGTTTGACGGACCTTTTAGTCACAGGAAACAATTACAGTGGCGTGTTTCCTCCTGTTCTTTACAATCTTTCATCATCACTCCAAATAATTTTTCTGGCTAACAATAATTTCTCCGGTAATCTCAGGACTGACATTGGTCTTGTGCTTCCAAACCTCCAGATGCTTGGTTTGGGATTCAATCAATTCAGTGGACCCATTCCATCTTCATTGCCAAATGCTTCGGACTTGCAAGTTTTTGATATCGGTTCAAACAATTTCAATGGGAAAGTACAAGTTGGTTTTGGATTGGTTTTGGAAAACTACAACATTTATGGCGTCTTAACTTCTTTGGTAATCTTCTTCACGATGATTTGAATTTCCTCACGTCTTTGACCAATTGCAGCAAGCTACAATTGCTATCTATGAGCTTCAACCAGTTCGAGGGTATATTGCCTACCTCCATAACCAATCTGTCCTCACAGCTGACATTTCTCACTTTCGGAGGCAACAAAATTGGTGGAAGCATTCCTTCAGAGATCTCAAACCTCTTCCACTTAAATGCTCTCGACATGAACACAAACTTCTTAAGGGGTAACCTTCCAGCTTCAATTGGAATGCATACAAACCTACAAATTTTCCTTGTGGGTGCGAACCAATTAACAGGGGAGATACCCTCTTCCCTCGGCAACATCACTCAACCATTGCGTCTAGATTTGGCATTAAACAACTTCCAAGGAAGCATACCTTTAGGCATTTGGAACCTCGAGTATGTGCAACTCCTTGCGCTTTATGGAAATAAACTCAATAGCACCATCCCCAAGCAACTCATGAATATTTCATCCACTCAATTACTTGATGTGTCTTTGAATTTCTTGACTGGTTCCTTGCCTACAGAAATTGGTAAACTTCAACATATTGTTAAACTGAATGTTTCAAACAACAAGCTATCTGGTGAGATTCCTGATACAATAGGGGAATTAGTTTCCTTGGAACAACTTTCTATGCAGGAGAACTTATTTGAAAGAC